AAAACACTTAAATGCAACAGTGCACATGCAGTTTAAAAAAATAAATCACTTCTAATGTTGATCATAAGTGTGCCATACTTACTGTGACAAACTGATTGTTCTCCAGTTTGATTATGTCTCCAACCTGAACATCCATCCATTTTTCCTTTTTTAGTCTGACAAAAAAAAATATAAGCAGAAAACACAACATGACATCACAATAACAAACAACATGATGATTTAAAGCTCAGAAATGTGTCTCAGCTGCACATTACGTGTGTAGTTTTATCATGTATAATGAACAAATATATAATGTGATATTTTCATTTTAAATAACTCACACTCCATCGATCAGGACATTAACGGTGCGGTTGTTCACTTGTTTGTCACTTTTATGCCTGTTCTAAACAGATGATGAAAAAGGAAAACAATGCTGGTCAGATTAGATGACTGATCGTGGGATTCTACTTCGATTAATGAACAAAGCACTTCAGCGTCAGGCTCATAATTTATCATGATAATCAAGCTTACTATGTCATCGCTGGCGTCTTTCACTGCCGTCATAGTCAACACCAAGAGAAGAGGGACGGCCGTGGTGAACCAGGAGAGAGAGGAGACTTGAGGGATTAGCTGTCGAAAAACACACACACACACACACACACACACACACACACACACACACACACACACTCACACACACACACACACACACACACACACACACACACACACACACACACACACACACACACACACACACACACACACACACACACTCACACACACACACACACACACACACACACACACACACACACACACACACACACACACACAAATTCATACTGATCATTGCTGTGTGTCTGCTGGATCAAACTAAATTCTTCAATGAATATAACATGGATAATAGCAAAAACATTCTGCTACTTAAAGTGTACCTGGAGGACCATGAGGAACAGGAAGTAGGCGTTGGCGAGCCTCCTGAACTGCTCAAACAAGTTGAGAGGCAGGAAGGTGAAAATGTTGTATTTAGAGGTCTTGATGGCATTGTTCTAAGAGAAAATAGAATGTTAAACAGGCAATAATATGATGCAACATGATTGAAAACTACATTTAAAAAAAGTGATATTATCCATTCACCAATTTATTTTTCGCATACACAGAAAGTTTTTGTGTCTACACTTACGACATAGTGGAAAGACAAGTTGAAATGTCTGTCATTAGCTCGCAAACGTCTCTCCTCCTCTGTGAACAAAAAGGGCAGGGATGGAGGTATTGCAGCAGCATTTAGGCTACAGTAAAGGTTCCTATCATCAACAACATGCAGAATGTGTTTGTGCTGTTAGTCAAGTGAATGCGTGTGATGAAGCAAGAACAAGAACAACTCTTTTTTTTTAAATATGAAAAGACGTAAAGTGATTTAACAACTTTTAAAAAAGTTAAGTGTGCTTCATAGCTCACCTCTTTTTTCCTCTTTCCCAAACAGTTGTCCAAAAAATGATGCTACAGACCCCATCTTTAGCTCAGTTCCTTCATATTGTACACCTGCAGGAAGAGCATGTGTAAATATACAAAGAGCCATTTCTTTGTAGTCAGACCTCATCGAGAAGGGGAAACTTCGTGAGAGGGAACTAGCATGTTTATGGTACATCATGTTTGTGTTTAAATCGACACCGTTAATATGAAGGTATAAAGACAGGAAAGGAGTTGATGAGTTATTCAGAGCAGTGATTTACAGAAAACAATGAACATCTGAAGAAATACATTCATGAAGAAAAGATGTACTGTTCAGAAGGGAGATATCTTTAAGCATCGAGGAGCTCAAGAACATGTGACAAAAAGTCCTGTCAATTAATATGAATGATAAAGATGACACAGAGAGGACTTCATGCTGCAGAACATCACTTTACTTTCTACAGTCTCTACAAACTAATTTAAAACATCTGAAACAAAAGCATGTACCCACAGGTATAATTATGATATATATATATATATATATATATATATATATATATATATATATATATATATATATATATATATATATATATATATATATATGTATATAGTTTTTTTAGTCAAGAAAAGTTTATGTTTTAGTCAACAAAAGTTGTGCAAATAAAAACTATAAATCTGGCTTATTTGACAGCTGTCAATCAAAAACGACATTTGCTTCTGATTTGGCATAACAGCCAAAAATATAAAACATTTGTGTGGATATTTTATGCAAATCAGCAGGTGCCATAGCATGTCAGTAACAAAAAAAAAACAATTCAAAGTTTTCTCTGTGCTAATATCAGGTAACATCCTTTATTCTTTATCAGTGCTGCAGAGCTGTAAAGGCATCAGGCCGCTCCCTTCTCAACCCTTTGTACCTGAGAAAGATCCTTGGCAGATAATATACAAACACTAAGATTAAGATAGTAATAAGACCATGAATACAAGACACTGACTACACAGCAGAAAATCTATTTGTCCCCTCAAACTTATGTTTTTCATGCCACTTAGTCAAGCTCATGTTAACCAAATGTAAAACCGGAGGATGATCAAACACACATAGTGAACTTCAACAGTGCTACTGAACAATAATGGATTTGGTTTAATGTAGATTAAACATAAGCTTTCTCCACATCCAAAAGAAACCATAATGTTTTTACTCACTATGTTGTTCTATTACTGTCCCACATCTATGAAATCATGTGAAATGAAAATGACTGAGCCGCTAGGCCTTGACTTTGAGTAGTAATAAAGAGTTCAAAATATGAGCCTCCTTTAGGATCCTCTTCCACAAAATTGCTATTTTCTAAACGTTTGAAAGTGATTGAAAGTCAGTAACATACATACCTCAAACAAAAAAATTGGATTCTTGTGCCTTAAAGTCCAGCTTCCACGTACACACCGGACCACAGGGCCATACACAAAAGAGGGAAAGTAATTATATTCCTTACTTAGTTTCCGCCTCAGATAAAGTAAACAGTCCCTCGTTTGAGTTTCTCTAAAAGTCCTGGCACCAAAGAGAGGGGTTGAACTGGGCCCTCCAGGTGAAGTGGTGTTGTGGTGAGAGAAGCACCAACAGTGGAGGTTTCAGGTCCATACAGGAAGAGCTGGGCTCAGCTTTGCACCTCACAGTCCAGGGCCTGAACAAACAGAGAAGTGATCTTTGGACCTGGATGGTGAGGCAGGCAGGAGTGGAGGGGCAGTAAAACAACAGTACAGGTAAATGGCTCCAGCCAATCAGAGGCCACATAACACACCCTGTGATGGCTGGACAAGCTTCCACTAACAACGTCTTTCTCATATTTTCAATATCAGCTCCTTTAGTCCAATAATCATGAAGTGTAAGAAAAGCAACACATTTGTTTTAATCCTCAAGGACAAATCTAAATTAATGACTCACTCAGAGCGAGTCTTATCTCTGAATGGTTGACTTCTGAAATGAAACTAAATACCTGCACTTCTACACAAAGGAACACTGTTGTCCAGGGGACCTCAACATGAACCGCTTGTTAAATTATTTATTGCGTGTATGAAAACACAGCAGTGTGTGGGCTGGGTTTGTGTTGAGTTGACGCCATACAAATAAAAATTGATTGATTGATTGATTGATTGTATCCACAGAGACATTAATGCATGTATGAACTCATATTCATGCACAGAGACAGAATGTAAAAGAAAAAAGGTTACAGAGACCCAGGATTGTTTAGTGGAAGGTAAAACTGAATTCAAGATCGTTATGTACATCCATTCCGCCTACAACTACTGACTCTCATCCTCTTCCCTCGACACTACTTCTATGTTGTATTGTTCTCAGTTTTTGCTTTGTTTTTTGTTGTTTCCTGTCAAAGCATCTTTGAGTATTTAGAAAAGCGCTATATAAATCTAATTTATTATTATTATTCCTAGACCGGTAAAGGGAATTAAAAAGCATCCTTAAAATGTTACCATGAAGAAATACAGAGATTCAGGACATAGCTGCAGTGATATTTCATCTGCTTATTAAACTATAGAGACATTTTCTGACTAAGTTAAGCGAGTCACTTCTTCAAGTTTTGGTTAGATTTGTTCTAACAGTGGTGGAAGAAGATTTTGGATCCTTTAGCGGTGTAGGCCTACATATACAAAACGGTAGATGCCTTAAGACCTATGCCATGATGAAAACTGGACTATAATGGTTTTTAGCAAAATATACTTAACACGCTAAATATTGTTTTGATCAATATGCAGATGAAGGATAATAGTGTCAACAATTGGCATGTTTCCCATCTTTACTGCATTACTTTAAATGTAGTTTTTATTACATAAAAACAAGGTCTTGATTCTGCCTTGAGTCATTGTTCATGCTAATAGAGCATATCTGGTCAAATGACTAAGCTTTTTTTTTCAACACATAAAACAATACCTTATGAGAAACAGTTTAATGCCTTATATTTACATTCTATGTTTAATACATTTATTTCACTGCACATGAATTGGAGGACAAATAGAAATGTGTAACTTGTCTTAAGACAAATTGAGTTAAGGGCTTTTTAAAGGAAACATTTTGCTTTACAATAGGTTATCTCCAGGATTGAATAGCATTGGTGTTACTCCGCTGTATAGTGCAGGGTATCCACTTGTTTTATTTTTTATAAGAAAAAATTGAGAACGTACCCAACATTTCAGAATGAAGGAGATAGGTTGAGGGTAAAACTTGAAATAAAATGTCATAAATACAGTAAAGAAAGAATCCTCCTCTTTTTCAAATACCTGCACTTAAACCGAAAGTTTAATGCAATTCTACACGGTTCAACCTTTGAATAGGAATGCATGAAAGATTCGCCCCTAATTTCCTTTCTTTCACATGCCTGGCCCTCACGTTCTCTGTTTAATGTGGATTCAATACATCCTGCAATAAGTTGATTCATAAGGTGACGTGAATGAATGATGTTTTATGGTACCAAACTTATACTCACTTCAAATCTTTGATGAATATCACATTGTTCTGTAAAAAAATAAATAAAGAAGAAAGACATAGGCATGGATACTTCTCAAATACTTTATACAAAAATGATCGACTGGAATGTTTACATGTTGACAAAAACATTTAAAAGCAGTGACAAAAAGAAAACAGCACAGAATAGAAGTTTGTATAACTGGTTAACAGTGGTGATGACTTCATGATAGTGCAAGGGTTAGAAAATGTAGAAGTAAAAAAAAAAAACAATTTAAATGAACATAAATACAACTTGGCACAAGGAATGTTAATATTACATATTGGCTATGTAACATTTCCCCTTTGAAAAAAACAAAAACAAACTTGATTAATTAATAAGGGTTAATTAACACTAACAAAGAGGAATGTGAATATCTCATTTCTTCAAGACAGTGATTGGTTTAAAAATGTGCGCACGCTGAGGTTCTCTCTGTCATATTCATCATCTCATCTCAGTGTAAAAGACTCAAAACTGAAACATATCTTATGTAACAATCATCAACATTATTTAAAGTGATTGAATCAGATTAAGGGAAACAATCATAAAACACACAACACAAATAGAACAGATGGCAAAGAAAAAACCTTCTACATAAAAAGTGTTCAACATCATCAAAAGGTAAAAAGTACAAAATATAAGGAGCATCACTTGGAAACATTATTTGACATCATGGTACAGTAGTGGCTAAAATCCTCAGCTAAAAACAAACGGAAATACAAGAATTTAAAGAACGTTTCACATTCTAAAATAAGGCCACTCATAGAAGAGCAGAAGAAAATGAAGCAGGGAGATCTATGAAAACCATGAGGTACTCTACACTCTAAGAAGTCCATATTCAAATGTTCAAAAATTATTTTAGGAAAGATTATTGTCACCTGTGATCAAGGACGAGAGTTGTCAACTTTGTTAGAATTTAAATAACATAAGCCGGGTTGTTTCCTTATTCTGATGCATGTTTCATCTAGTAAAGAAACTCTTCAACAGAAACACATTGCCTGCTACCAGCGGTAAACAACTGAAATCAGCACAGGCAAATAATAAATATGTATAAAACAATAAATAAAACGGTTGCAACATCCTGGTTACAGTAGGCCACATTAGCCAAGAGTTGGTGATGGAGCTAATAAGTAAACATGGCCTAAATGGAGTTCCCCCTTTAACATACAGGGTGAATAGGAAACATGATGATGTAACAAGGCACACATTTAACTGAAATGAAAGGGGTCAAATGAAGGGTTTAAGTACCTTTCATTAAATCATGTGCAAGATCAACTTGTGAAACCAGCAACAATATTTTAATACTAATCATACAAGCGTGAAGTAGGACTGTTTCCAAGCTGTTGTCTTTTCAAAAGGATTTTCACATTGACTCAAACCATCATAGACGGATTTCACTCATTCACAGTTTGCTGAGTTTAAGGCATTCAAAACAGGGCCTGTGGTGTGAAGGGGTCCAGGTGGGTGGGGGGGGGGGGTATAGCACTAACACACTGGGGAGGTGTGGGAACTCTTTTGGCAGTCCAGCGCGGCCTGGCATCCTCTGTTCTGTTGAGGCTTCTGCGCCAGACTGATGAGGAGACGGGGTTTGAATAAGAAGTGACTGCCTGGTGAAACAGCTGGTGAGTGGGAAGGTTGAGTGAGCTTGTGGAGAAGTGGTCTAAGTGGTCTATGTGGTCTATGTGGTTGTTTGCTGTACAGTAGCTCTGTTAAGTAATGTGACATTAAAAGTGAGAGTTGGTCCAAAACACCCTGAGGGTGAGGATGACAGCGAGCCAAACAATCAACAGCAAGTAAGACACTTTAAATATCTAATAAAAAACATTAACATTGCTTTTATGGAAAATAATTCCCTGCCTTTTTATCAGGACTGTCACATGAGATCCTTCCTCTAATCCTGAAACTCAAAGGCCATCTTTTCTGTCTCCTCCTCCTCATCTGCCCTCCTCAGCCGAGCGGGTCTCTGATTTTAGTCTCACAAACTCCTTGGCCACGTCATCGTTGGAGCGCTGGGAGAGGATTCGCATGGCGGTGAGACCGGTGTCATCCATATGGATGCGTTGGCCCAGTGGGCACCAGCATGCACAGTTGCCCTTGACATCTTTTAATTTGATCACGGTCAGGCCAACGACTCTGTCGGCTCGGCCAAAGCAGTAATCTTTGACGCAGACTTGCAGCTCGTAGCACTCTAAGCCGTCCTGGTTACCCAGAACACTGTGGAGACAGAACACAGGGGAACATGCAGGGATTTAAATAATATATCAAATAAATACAATGCTAAACATTTTGATCTGTTTTATCTTTTGGTCCTATAGAATGTTAAATAAAGAAAGATAAGCGACATTTGCAATAAAAAAAGCTATTTAGTTTTGACTGATGGTCCTAAACATTAATATCATTACTGTCATATTAAAAAAACACATTTAGAATGAATCAAGATAATGTCTGATATTTTGCTGTTAATATAGATTGTAGCAAAAAGCAAATCGTTTTTTTTTTGTCTTAATGTGTGATTAACTGACTAATAGCTTTTGAATAAAGTTGGTAAATTGAATGGTTAACATATACACAGATAATCTTCTTCAGATAACTGTCTCTAATGGCCAGCTGTAGTGAGCACGTTTCATCATGGAGCTGTAAATAGCTCTTTTCAGACTGCCATCACGTCTTTGTACATTCATATTGATTACGCAACAGCATAATATTGTAGTCCCTGACTGTGAATTCACATTGTGTTTGGATGTTACAAAGAGCATGGCACAGTGGGAGCGCCACATACACACAGTCGGGGGGGGGGGGTCTGAATAGGGTGAATGTCAAATGCAAACTGCACTTGTGATACTGTGAATGGATATGATGTGAAAACACAAACTATGTTGTCTTACAGTGACATGACAACTTGTTCTTTAAGACAGGATCAAAGAATAAAATAGAATAAAAACATGTTTTTGTTCCTTCTATATTCATGATCAATCACAAGCAGGCGTTGGGAGTACGTACAAATGGAACGTCTCGCTGAACTTTGGAGACCAGCTGTTGTTCTTGGATTTGGTCTGAAATTTGCGCTTCTTGTCGCTGAGGTTTGGCCCGATCATGGAGATCTCCACGAAGGGTCGAAACATGCCGGATGTCTGCCACTTTAAGTCATTAGCTCCAATGACTAAATATACAAAACCACAACAACATAAGAGAAAGACAGAAGCAGAGGGTGACACAAGTAGATTAGAGCATTTAATACCAATGAAACACATCTAGCACCATGTTATAAAAGCTAATACAAACCTTTGGCAGTGACTTTTCGATCCCCCTTGGCAGGATTGTGCAAATCAATCTGGATAGAAACTTCACCTATTGGCTTGTCTAAGCCGGAACCTTGTTAAAAAAAACACGTTCAATGAGCTTACATTTGGCCAGGAAATAAAGATTCAACTTTAGAAGACGATATAGAAGAAAAGATAAGCTCAAGGGTTGACCTTCCCATCCTAAGTGGGTATGCTTTAGAGGTAAATGTAGAACGGTTGAGAAAAAAAGAGGAGGGCTAGAAAATGATTTCAATGAAACCTACCCCTGCTGGGCTGTATTTTCTCATTAGGAGTAAACCTAATACCCTTTCCATTGTGCACTGGCACACAGGCAGCACAGGAGATAAAGTGAAGAAAGCAATAACATGTCACAAAATTCCAGCTTCAAAAAACACATTGTAATACACAGGGTGCAGGTGGAAAATGAAAGAGGTCATATACTCTATGCAGAGCCTCGTGCACATAGTGCCCTCTGCTGGTGAAACATAGGAAATGCTTTCTTACTAAGTCCTCTTAGATGTGTCATGATGAGACAGTGATCTGGACTACCTTGTGCATGCTGGGTGGTCACAAAGGTCTTGATGAGGGTGTCTGTTGTTTGAGTGTAGAGGGACAGAGCGTGCCGTAGTGAGGATAACTCGGGACTCTTCTCCAGGTAAGCCTTCTTCAGTCCGCTGCCTCCTGCATGGAAATATTGCTGCGAGGAAAAAAACAATGTGAAGAAGCATTATGGCAAAGTGGGAGTAGTGTTCAAGTAACATTAAAGGCACCAACAGCTACTTGAGTTAACATGTTGGACGAATTCATCTTGTGAATAAAAGAGTAGTGTTTTACCTTTTGATCATAAAAGAAAAACTAACAAACACAAGCAACAGCAGCAATGCAGATCTGACATTTTTCCAGAATTATTTGGTTGGCTAATATATTCTGATTTATAAAATTTCACCCACTTAATCCTTTACAAACATTTTTTTCTGGTAACCTAAGGTTACACACAAGCTGCTTACATGACCTTCTAGGGCACTTGTTTATTGGATTGAAGATGATGAGGCAAATGGTAAATGGACTTGAGCTTGTATAGTGCTTTTCTAGTCTTCTGACTACTAGTTGTAAAGCGCTTCTACACCGCATGTCACACCTACCCATTCACACTCTGATGGCAGAGGTTGCGTGTTGTGTTGAGACCATCAGAAGTAACTAATCACATTCATACGCTGCTGATGAAGCAGTGGGAGTAATTCAGGGTTAAGTGTCTTGCCCAAGGACTCAGTGAACATGTTGCTGCAGGAGCTGGGGATCAAAACCAAATGAGCCACAGCCGCCCTGCAGCCTAATGAAACCAAAACCTGCAGAATAAACTGACCTTGATCGTGTCCAGTGCCACGTCCATGACAGCACACTGCCTGGGAGACAAGCTTTTAGCCTCCCCTGCCATGTGATCCTGCACATTGAAATGGAGAAGACATGAGTTAAAGCCTTAAAAATACTCCACATCTTTCTCAGCTATGAGCTATTTTGAGCCACAGTAGAGAACTTCTCATAGTGTTAAACACATGAAAGGGTTAAAATACCTTGAGTTTTGAAAGCTGACCCAGTTCTTTTGCTGCTGAGAGAATCTGTGCACCCTGAAAAAAAAGAGTGGGGAATGATTTGCTGGCCTGTTAGCATCTTAAAGAGAAACACTTTTTTAAGTATCAATAGAAGCTGATACAAGCACACACACAAACAAACAGAGTGTTTTAATCTTACAAAGGTATCGTTGCCCTGTGGTAGGACAATAGTCTTCTCCAGGCTGGTCATCACAATCCTCCAAAGCTCCTTTAACACACGCTTTAGCACAGTCTTCTCACATACAGTGGCAAACAGTGTCAGCCTGTAAATATGTACAAGCATACAAAAACAGATGAACTCAAGGTGATGAGACATAATGCAACAAACGGTGCTAACTTAGTCAGAGCTAGATATGAAATCTGACATCTAACTTATGTAACTTTATGTAACAAATTTCTACAAGATCATATGCAGGACAGAAATTTAGAACCCAGAAGAAATGGCTGGTGAAAATAAATCAACATACAGAGTGCAGTTTGGCATTTGGGAGAGGATTGGCCCAGCAGCAGCTGCTGAAATCATTAGGCTATCCTCACACAAGTCACATTGTTGGTATGGTAAGAGCTGTCCCAGATGTAAATGAATCCTCTCACCTTCCATCCAGAAAGTCCATGAGTGGACGTAGCATGTTGTCAGAGTCAGCGTCCACCTGGTTTTTGTTGTTGGCGTTGAGAGGTCCCTTGATTTGGCTGAGCAGAGACGACATCTGACGCATACACTCATTAATCCGGATCTGAAAACTGAAAAGAAAGCAGAGTATTAATCAGCAAAAATGCATGTGTGGGCTATGATCTTATAGTAAATGTGTGTGCGTACATGTGTGTGTGGGGTTTTGTATTTGTTTAAGGCTCCTGGATTACTCTACCTGTTCCCAAATGTCCTGCTGAGCTCGTCCAGCACATTGTTCAGTTTCACTTGAAGGTCGTTCAGTATGTCACCGGCCTCGGTGTCCATCTGTAGAAAGGCAGGCAGAAAGAATACAAGCACAGCTTTTAAATGTTTATCTTAAACAGGTCAAAATAGATACACCCCAAAAAACATCCAAAGCTTTTTGAAAAACGTTTCAGTTGAGAATAATTCAACTGGGGAGAGTGGAGAAATCAATGTGTAATGACACCCCTCTCCACTGGAGGCACTGTGGGTTCAGTGAATTTTCAACAGTTTATACAAGACTTAAAAATGTTCAGCTTTTGTTCAGCAGTTTGTGGAGCACCATGTCAACCTGAATAAGTAGATTATTAATTAGCAGATTATTGTGTTCTTTGGTACTGTTGCAGATCATTTTCAGCTGAATCACCATGATTGTAGTTCATAAAATTAAAATGGCAAAAGGAAATAAATTACAGAATGAATAGACAGATTAAAATTCAGCACATACAGCTGAGGAAACCCACCTTTTTACCAGCCGTCTCCAACTTTCATAGAGAGCACATTGAAAAAGAAAAGTTTAATACTGCCAAAGACTTGTCTTACATATTCATATGTCGAACAAGCACAGGGTGAGGGAACAAGTAGGAGTGACAGAGCCATGAAATACCTCCAGCATACCTAACACAGGTACACTGTGGCATCATCTAAATAAACACTGCCTGAAGGGAAGCCAGGTCATATGGATGGAGCCATGGCGTTGGCTCATTAAGTCAATGAGCTCAATGGTCATTTGATTCATGGCCTGTCAGGCTGGAATAGCACTATTAGTGAGGAGAGACTGAGACAAGAGGGAAGGCTTCAGGGTGGAGAGTCAGCTGGGGATGAATTGTTTTCTGTTTGGAATGTGCAGAATGTGTTGCCCGAGACTCTGTTATCCTGTGTGCATGATAACAACTAAACTCACCTTCTTGTCTTCCAATGTGTTTTCAGTCTACGACAGCACAGACAGGTGGAGGTAAACACGGGACAACCTTCACTGATCAAGTCATTCCCATGTGGAATTTGATTGCATTTATGATATGAGGGAAACTACAGATGACCAATAGCCATTACTGTACACAAGGCCCTTTTGAACCTCGGTATACATGTGACATACCTTTTCTACTGGGGAATCCATCTTTGTGTGGGGGGAATGTTTAATTTTTTAAAAAGAAAAATCAAAATTAAAAGCCGTCAAACAAAAAGAAAAGCTCTGCTGTAGCATAACTAGGGGTGTGTGTGTGTGTGGGGGGGGGTCTTCATTTACAAACAGGCTCAATAATAAAGTTTAGAAGATTTCTAATTGCATGTTTTTTGAGGAGTTAGAAAATGTATAGATCATGACAAATATGGGAAGATATTGAGATTGGAGAGTAATATCTTATTAATAATATTTGCACCCACCTTTTCCTGATCAGTCTATAGCAAAAGAAAAAAACAAATTAAAAGAAGGGTACAACAAGTTCATGAAGAAGCTTTTATGTAAAAGGAAATGAGTGACCATTTGAAGAAAGGCCGAGGAAATGCCACTGAAAGAATTTAGAAATCAACACGGATGATGAGACAAAAGGAGCACGAAAACTCCACACTGACAACAAAAGGGATGGTGAATTGTTTCAGTCAAATCACCGGTGACAGTGGGAGTATGAAGACGGAGGACAAGAATGAATTGGACTGATGAGTAAAAAAAAAAACAACAACATTCGACTGCAACAAACCTTAACCTCAATTTTCACCCCTTCCTCCCCTACTTCCTCCTCCTCTTCCTCACTCTCCTCAAACTAGGAGGTGCAGTGAAAAGACAAACATTAAATGAAGCTTTAAAGCTAAAGTCAGAAACTCTTTTCATAAAATTATAAAAAGAGATGCACAATTTCATTTGCAGAGTATATGCAAGCATGCATCATGAAAACATGCTCACATATACATTGAACTTGCCTGCCATGCTAGCAATCTATTGTTGCGCTAGAAAAGAGAGGAGAAACACCAGAGTGACTTCACTATCCCTCAAAAAGAAAAACGTCTCAGTAAATGTTGTGACTAAGTGTGTAAAAATGTAGTTAAGTTGCACACTGTCATACTTGTTTTGCAATATGTATCTATTTCTGTTCTCTGCCAAACACATGATTAGACAACTGAACTAAAGAGCAACAAGTGAGAGCAATCGTGAGCTTGTCAGGCCTAGCCTAAGCTTAAGTGTTTATAGAAAAACATAAATGAAGAGGAACTACTGACATTGTGCCAGGTTAGTTTTTTACACATTAACAACAATGGCACAGCTAATTTAAAAGACAGGGGGGGAGCTATGCTTTCTTAGCTTAAATAACTAGGTTGATTGTGTTTTGGTGATGGTATACTCCAATTTAAAATGTATTCAACATGGTTTCAGTTTTTAGTGAAATATGATTAGGTAGATATTTATCTTTAAAGCATTATAGCAGATCATTAAAACTGTTTTTTTTTTTTTTTAAATTAAAGAACACAATCATGTCAATAGTTCAAACACACTTAAACAGCATTCAGTTAGAGGACTCAACTTGTTGGACCAATGAACCACAGACAGAGAACGCTGCAAACCTGTTCGGGCTGCTGGATTACAGCAACATTCATAATCAGGATTATTTGGATTGATATTGACATCACTATTATTAAACACCATTACTCGTTGATTTTACATCTGCATCACATGCATGTATCGCACTCCAACACTCCCAAAAACAAGTAAAAATCAAACCGTAAAAAAATATGGATATATATAAAAAATATACATAAACTATTTTTTAAGGTAGAGTTGATGTACTTTTGTTGCCCAAATATAACAAGAACTTTTACCACACGACAAAACCTGTGGACAAAACAAACGCAACATTTCTGCACAGTAATCGTTTAATCTCGATGATGCTGTTTTCGTGATCTTGGGAAGCCAAAATTGTCATTGATTGCCCAACCATAAAAGCGGTCTTTGATCCATACTGTTAATAGTGATAGTAAACAAAAAAGTTTTTCCATGTAAGATAGAAATGTCCAGCATATTTTCTTTGTATTGTTTAAGTATTTTTTTTTTTTAATTTAAACCATGCAAGCAGATATGCAACACATCCAGTGAAATACCTCAACATCTTCTGGATAATTTAGAGCAACATTTTTACCTCTCAAACACAAAATCCCAATTACACTCCCACAATAACTGGGCGGGTTGCCTTGAAATGTGGGTCAGCACTTAGTTTAAAACTTAACACATGAACTACTGAAGACTTTCTGATCAACATTAGCTGGAGCTGATAGTTTAAACTCTAAAAGAAAAGACACACCTGACCAAAGCAGTTAAGCTACTGTTCATTCATGCTAGAGAGGGGTTGTCTATGTAGGATTATGGATCTAGAAGTCTCTAAACATCACTCACTACTACAAAAGAAATCTACGCTGCCCACCAGAGTCTTAGCTTCCTCGTCCTCAGTTATGAGCTGCTGTGAGAACCAAAGGAAGACGAGTAAGAAGTGTAATACTCAATAAGTCAATTATAGACATGCTCACACCATTTTGGAAACCTACCTCTTCCTCTCCTGCCTCCTCCTCCTCCTCCTCCTCCACCACTTCATCTTGCTTTAGTTGCAAAGTGAACACACTGATTGGAAATTCTGCTACAAGTTCAAACTGCTACGAAATAGCAAGTCGACTACACAATGCTACAAATAATCTGCTATTCGAATTCAAAGCAGAGGGAGGCCACGAGTGACAGAGGAGCCAGTGATTGTCCTAAAGCAGCTACACTAGTGATACTATTACAGAGGACATGATTGAATTCAGTCTCTGCCTCAATATCCTCTAGCCCAGTGGTTCAACTGGTGGGTTGGGACCCAAAAGTGGGACTCGAACAGAAAAAAAAAGATGTGTAAAAAGTCTTAAAACAAGTCGGTTTTGTTCTTTCTCTTTGTTTCATCATATGTTTCGTACCATTTGAGGTCCAAATTGCACTATTCATTCAAATAATCTGATTGGTTGAAAAAATATCAGAAATTTGGGTTACACTTTTTATGAAGGAGTTGGTGTTGGGTCCTTAGACTAGACCAGTTGAGAACCACTGCTCTAGCCTATAAGACAGTACAGGGTCTAACTCCTCTGACCTTACTGATCTATGGTAATCCAGTTCTAACAGAAATCTACTTCATGGTTTAAACAACCACGACGGTACATACCCGCGCTTCTTCTGTTGCTGTCTGATTTATAGGAGACAAAAATATGCCTGTTGTACAATAAACCACCCCTAAACATCTACTGCTATCGATCCAGAGAGAAACTTTAGTGAGGTTTAGTTGATTCAAAATTGCTGGCTCATAAATATGAAACCAGCAAAATCATACTAGACACTGACAATTAGTTTGATTTCAAAGAACATTACATGTGTCATCCACACCTCCATCTTTAAACATACCTGTTTGGCACCCATCGACTCAAACATCTTCTCCAGCTGAATTCTTAACTGCTGCACATTATTCAACAGGACACATGGCTGCAGAGGGACACAGGAAAAAAAGAGATGGTTAGAAGCTGGACCTATTCAGCATTTAAAAATGATGTTGAATCAAAATGTAAACCTTGAACACAGAATTTAAAAAAAAGAAGACAAAAGTCAAATTCAAACTTCGCTTGGATTTGTATTTTGTAAAAATAACACGAGGTAATGTCTGTGTAGGTCATGGTAAACCAAGCTTGATCCAAAGGCAACTCATCTGCTTGAAGAGCTTGAAGACATTTCTCCACAGAAAGGTTTCTTCAGTGCTAAACAAGCTGGTGGACGGAGCTAGAAATGTAAAGCCTCTGTGGATCATTAGCATGCTAATGATCAAAGATGGCACACATCAGATGATCCACAGAGATTTTACATTTCTAGCTCTAGCTTAGTTTAGAACTGAAGAAACGTCTTCAAGACATTCAACCAGTCCAGTTTCCTTTGGATCAAGTTTCAAATTGAACACAAGGTTAAGTGAATATCTAACTCAACTACTTAAGTGTCTTTAGAATACAATATTTTTTTATTATTATTAAGCTTTTTAATGGAGGCCTTTAATGTAGAGATAGGACAGTGGATAGAGTCGGGGAGAGAGAGAGTGGGGAATGACATGCAGGAAAAGAGCCACAGGTGGGATTTGATCGTGCCCACTTGGAGGACTATAGCCTCCATACATGGGGCGCACACTCTAACCACTGCACCACCAGAATACAACATTTTTGTCACACAGAATATATAACGGCTACAAAATGAGGAAATCTCTTTAAGGCGTTGAAAACTTACAATCTTCTCCTTGTCAATGTAAGAAGGGAAACTTTTGGTCAGAATGGCACTGTATTGAAGAAGAACTTTGGCAATAGTCTGTGAAGATGAAGAGAAATACATACGTTAACATTTTGTACAACATGACATTTCCATTTGAAACTATTTATAAAATGATTAAATTGATTGAAATATTTACATAAAAATGGATGTAATGCTAAAAGAGAAGATTACACAACACATCGACACGTTTTGGCAGTAGTTCTCAAAGACCACTTGTCCCAGATTCCATTATTTCTGACTGTCCTTTTGTGTATTTCCCCTCTTTCTTTAAATATCATACAATCCCTCTAGACAATGCTGCAGCAGAACATTTCTATCACATGTAGTACTCAGAAGCTGTTTCAGAATTTACAGTCCAAATAATCTGTGACAACCGATGATAGCATGTTAAGATCCAAATCCACATGGAGCTCCGGCCTTACCTTGGAGAAGCGGCGGCTGTACTGAGCCAACACATTGGGATCAGGACACTCCAGTTTCCTGATGATCTCGAAGCTCTGGTTGAGCTGGGTGAAGATGTCCACCACAGAGCAGGAGAACAGAGCATGCTCAGACGTTTGCTGGAACTAAGGCATTGTGGGGAGGGGTGGGAAAACACACACAAAAATAATAATTATTGTCTTTTATTCAATATTTTACATGGTTAAATATTCTCAACATGCTATAGATTCACTTTTTGAAGGGTCACATGCTGATACTGTGTCTCTAAATATGGACTCAGTAATTAGATTAGATACATTTTATCTCAATAAATAAAGAAAAAAAATTACAGAAACAAGATAAAATAGTAGAGGAAACAAAATGTCAAAAGTCCCTTAATAATTTCCTTACTCCATCTTTTTTGTCTCTCTCAAGTGCTCCATGCATAAACTCCATGGAGACGTCCTCATTTTCATCCAACCACTGCAGCACAAATTGTAGAAACCATCTACACGGGGAAGTAAAGACAACAACATAATTATTTTTAAAATTAGGCATAAACGTACCCAGTTATATCAAAGTTTGACTTTGTTATTCATTGTTCTTCTACCTGGGCTAGGGTTCATCAATTAAATAAACGATCAAAGGGAAGTTATTCTAATAGAATCATAATGCCCCCCCCTGCCCCCTTAGCTGTGAGTGAGTGAGTTTAAGACACTTACGATGGGTAGTCCGGGACGACCCCGTTAAAGTTGGGCAGCTCCTTGACATACTCGTTGTAGAGCCACTTGATCTTGAAGTGCATGTTCATGTAGTCGGTGCTCTTACACAGTCTGTGCTTCTCGTGCTCTGCAGACACAAACACATCAAAGAGCCTGTGAGCAGTGGGATGAGTTTGTGTGCCAGAGAAAGAAAAGAAAGAGTCTCAGGCCATACACAGACTTGGATTGTTAACAGGATGGTATCGAGGGAATCTGTGACTCATTATGTGAACTGTAAGTCAACGATCTGGCTCTCTGCTCTGTTTGTTTACACAACTCTTTTCAAAGTCCTCGATTAGAAGCTACACAAATAATGGATGAGCAAAACGTCATTGGTGAAGAGTAGGACTGGGCAATATATAGTCTTTAAGATATATAAATTTTCAAGTGAGATATAGGGTAAGACAATATTGTTATATAAATATAATTTATGTTACATTAAAATGATATAAGTTTCTTCTGTAGAGCTGCCCGTTCACCAATTTCTCCTCTCTCCTTCTCTGAGCAAACTTAAAAAAAATACTTACCGCTAAATGTTTTGTGTTGTGTGTATTACACACGAAATACAAAATTCTGCTGAAGCCTTGTTTTTTCTTCTGCTGAAATGAAGGGGTTATTTATTTATTTAGTTATTTTCACAAAGAGTGTAGACTATTGTCCCCCATGAGTAGCCCAATGTGTGGGTACCATTATGAAGCAAGTTTGTTTAGGTTATAGATCAAAAATTAAGTCCTTGACAGAATTTATTATATTTAAATGTGTAAACTGTTTTTACTTATATTTTAAAATCCAGACTACCTATAAGAATAAAATATAATAATAAAAGATCTGAGACCTTCATTATTCAGAAAACTTATCAGAATGTCCCTTTAACACATCTTAATTAGGTTTGTATGATTGTTTATTTATGGTTTCATATGATTGTACATGAAAAGCACACACAGTGCTTTTCATGTACAATCATATTGGGCATGTAAGAGTTGTATCAAGACAGAATCTATCCTAACTACAAAAGCTAACTCACCCCTTATCCTCCAAAAGGTAATTCCCAATTCACATACTTCATTTAAAATCAAAGTACAACTCAGCCTGTATGGACTTGAATTGGGAACAGGAGGACTGCAGGTTCAAGTCCCAGTGCAGACCATGTCTGGAAATTGGTCTGGTAGCCTGAAAGGTGCCAATTCACTTCCTGAGCAATTCACTACTGGAGCTGCTCTACTGTACAGCACACTACAGCAGTGAGAGTCCGCTGGGAGACATAAGCAGCTTTGAAACTCTGCACACTTATTATGTCACTCTTTCACACTTCCATGCCATTCAATCAATTGTACCCTAGAATTTTCCTTCTTCTTGTGCCATTTCAAGTTCAGAATAATGCTGCTGTGATTATATGGTGGGGCCTGACAGGATGTTGAAGAACAAATGTATGTAAGGACTATCATATATTACTACAGCTGGTAATTAACATGGACTTCCTGATACTATACGATACAATACCTATTGTGATATTTTGAAATACTCCACTTAGAAAACAGATTTCTGTGTTGTGAGTCAAAACTATCTTGTTCAGAATTCCCAGTCCATTCAATTAATATATAGGGTCTTCAAAATACTAACATTTTAAACTTCTGTATGAAATACAAAAACAATTAAACATTCTCAACACCCGTTTTGATACCATGGCAAAATAAATATAATCACTTGGAAACCAACATTGTGAACTTCCTTGTTTTTAAATACAAACCTAAACACAATGCTGGTTCAGAAAAAGTAACTGAGCACATTTTAACTCGTTTGAAATATGCCCATTGTTGACAGTAATAAAAAGCGGAATCAAGAGGACTTTTCAAAAAACTCTTGAAAAAAAATGATCACTGATAATCCAGTTGAAGTGTACAGTTTGTATCTTAACCCACCCTGCCCTATGTCTGTTTTTTTCATGTTGTCTCACCATGATGCTGTGATTGTTTGGGACATTTCTGTGCATCAGTCATTGTGCAGTACTGTAGAGCAAACAACACACTGCAGGTCGGGACTGAATCAAAATGTAGCCATATTGGATAGATCCCTATCTCTCCGGTCTATAACAGACACTAACGTAACTTGTGCATCTTAATGAGACACCCAAAGGACTTAGTAGACACCTGTATTTACCGACCTGTGAATTAGAATCTGTCTGTGTTGTAGCTGTTTAGAGTGTAACTGAAGTGTTTCTTTCTTTTACCGCGTTATTTACACCACTGCTGCTCTTTCTCTTGGGGGGGGGGGGGGGGTTAGCACAGAGAACTCCCATGATACCCCGCTAGCCCCGACGTTATCTTTTGTTATTTTTTTGATTGAGAACCCCCTCTGGCTGAATTTACATACTGTGCGTTTAAGGGGGTCATGGTGATATCAAGAATTTAAGGGAAATAAAGGGACATTTATAATTCATTTAATGCATTGATGTGCTTGTGTGTGTGTGGGGGGATCAATATAGCATTGAAAACAAATATTGCAATACTTCGCTGTATCTTTTTTTTTGGCACAGCCATATGTTTTACATTGCAAGACACTAGTGGAAGTCATATATAGAAAACATTTCTTCTGACATTATTGACAGTGAAAAACACAACAATTAATTATTCAGTAAAAAATGAAAACTAACTATGGTAATGACCTTTAGTTGTACAGTGCACACTGACCATGAATGTGACTTACCTTCCATGGCGTACTTCATGTCTTGAGCATACAACGTCCACATGACCTCTGCCGACACCTTCCCTACGTTCAGCTCTTGAGGGGAATCTAAAAGGAGAGGTCAAGTTTTGACAAATGTGACATGAATCCTACCAAAACACAAAACCAAACACAATATCGCTGAGTGACTGAAGCAGCCATATTACATGTTATGACCATTCTTACTACGTAGCAAACTGCCACTACAGATTTAACCAAAGTTCTGCATATGATCTGCTATCTTAAACGAGTAAAGATGAATGAGTTATATGTAGTTCACTTACTGGTTGAGCACAGGTGTATAAGAGTTCCTGTCCTCTTCGATGATGGAGACAATGAGCATGATGAGTTTGGGCCAGAAGTCCAGGTTCTTTACACTTGGACCCTGCTCCTCCAATGGGAGCTCCTCCTTGCTCTAGATAAAACACAACAGTCAGGCCCTTAAAATAGATTTCATAGGGTTAAACAATCAAAAAAATGAACTCTAAAACTAGTTCAGTAGACATGTACTTTACTACGTATTATGTTCCCCAACATACAGTTGGTCTGAGTGTAAAAAAAAAGGAGAAATGTCAGTTCTGATAAAGTATCAATGCTGCACTTTTTCACTAGCACAGTTGGATAATGAGCGTGACTCACAGTGTCGATAGGTTGGTACTGTCTGCTGTACAGCTCATGGCAGTTATTGAAGATATAGTCATATGTAGAGTTGAGGCAGGCCTTGACACAGTCCCTCACCACCTGGCTGGCTCTTGGTGGAGATTGTAGCTCCTGAACCTAAACACCAGATTGGGAACATTAGGAGTGAATGACTGCTAAACCCAGATTCCATTTAAACATGGTTATGAGCAAAGTTATTCATCAAGTACAGTGTGTTTTCAAGTGGCAACTTTCTGGCAAGCTATGGAAACATGTCCAATAAATAAACTATCATTTAACTCACTTCTGAGAATGTTTCGAAAGCAACAACAGTACAGATGCAAAACCTGAAACACAGTAAACTACCTTCATCCTGAAGAAGGTGATGCTTGTTAGAAGGTCCACTGTGGATTTTAAATCCTGCAGGCGATCCTTGCTGCTGGCAGGGAAATGATTCTGCAGAGGGAAAAAAAAGGTTTAATTGCAAAATAGAATAAATGACCCTTACAGGCATAAAGCACATTTCAATGTCTTTGCTGGTAATTCCTGTTAAAGAATTAAAATTAGGGACCGATCAAATCTTATATTGGCATTGGGTCCAATATTGACAAAATTTATGGATTGGATATCGGACTGACGGCGCTGATCCACGTAACTGATTGAGAAAGATTGTTGGACACTTAAAGCTATCTCGCCCTTTGAAAACATTCAGAATGAACTGCAAGAAATGTCAACAAATCATCAACATCGAAACATTCAGACGAGATGGAACAGCTCCTTCTATATGATCTAAAGTACAACTCTTACATTTCAGTTTAAAATATTTAACTTGAAACCAGACAGTTGTTGCTGCTTCTTGTTTGTATGTGAAGCCAGCATGATGCAATGCCAGGTGTAATAGAGCTTTGTGCAGCCTTACACATACTAACAACAACAGAAATACATTATTAGTTATGATAATAAAAATATCGAAATCAGTATTGGCATCTGTACATATGTATCGGAATCGCATCGGAACTGGAAGAAAGTGGATCGGTGCATCTCTAATGAAAATGGGATTGCCTTCACAGTATATATGTGTAGACAGACATTAAATTATTAAAATATATTCCTTTGTGTCATGTCACCAAATGTAAATCAAATGTAAGGTGACATGCTTTTCTAGCACTTCAGTACTTGGTGTCATTGCTTATGATTGTGTTAGCAAACACCATCAACAGCAGCAGTAGTAAAATATTTTTTTGACTAGAGGTTTATGGATCCCTTAAACTCAAGAAATTATCACAGAGAACTACAACGACTAATTATTAAGAGCTACTAAATAAAACATAAATACTGAACTTTCACTTTTCATTTATACCATCAGTCACACGTGGAGGTTGTAGTTATTTTGAACTGTAAAAATCTTACCCTGTAGGTGGAGAGGTCAATGCGCAAGGAGTTGTGTAGCTGATCTAAAAGCTTAACGAAGCGTTCTTTCTGCATGGGGGATAAAAAAAAATAAAAAAAATTTATGAGATCATGTGAATGGAAATACAAAGACAAATATGTACAACATAGAGGAGACAGAATGTGATTATATATAACCTTTAGAAAAGAAAGAAAGGGCCAGAAATACTTATGTGTGTGTGTGTGAGTGTGTGTATGCATACAAATACAAACCCCAAAATTGGTGGCAGCAAAGCGGTCTGAGGCGGACACATTGGTAGAGGCGGTTGTGTGGGCGTAGAAGGCATTGATATTGGCCAGCAGGGTGCTCATCACTGCAGGGACACCGGGACACATGTACTTGGATGAAAGACAGGCAAAGTGCCTAAAAGAAAAAAGCAGTGACAAAGCTTAAGAAAGACACAGGCAGCATGTCTACTACTACTCCTATTTGTAAGCATAATAAGACCGTCTATTGCCACAGAGAAGAGGATCACAACATTGTTCCACTAGACTGAATAGCCGGGCCCTTATTTGTTCTGCATGTATTCTCTTAAGGGGCTGGTTTTCACCTAATGATCCCTATCAGGAACAGTCATTCCATCTGCCCATCACCTAGCAGCTATGTACTGTATAAGCTAATGGATGGACCATTGAAGTGTGCTTCTGTGAAATATGGGTTCAGCTGTAAGGCATCTGGATGGAGCATGACCCCATCTCAGCCCAATCATAATTGATTTAGCTCCATTTGGAGGACAACATGCGAAGGCAACAGCACTGAGAGGCACTTTGTCAAGGGAGCAAAAAGAGCTAGGAAGAAGAAGAAGAAGAAGAAGGGGGGGAAGGGGTACAAAGAGGGTACAAACACATGGACATGAGCCATGGATGTGGATCCTTTTTTTTCTGTGACTCACGTCATTGCTTGGTAGATTGATTCAATGCCGTAGCGCATGCCAAACTCGTCCACTATCTCCTGAGCGACATCATCAAAGTAAACCTTCCATGCGTCATCCCCACGAGCTTCGGGGATTTTCACCCCACCTTGGCCAAGCACATCAGTCCAGTGATGGAACAGGTTCTGCAGGGAACATACCAAACGTGTGAATTCCATTTAAATAACCTTTTAGAGGTGGACTTAATATGATACGCCTGTAGTGTATGCCCAACGGTTCCTTACACTCTGTTTGTGAGCCACAGAATATTCCTTAAACAGTGAAGAAGGGGGATAGCGTAAATGTTACAAGAGTATTCTTTTCTATTTTAATCTTAACAAAGATCATTCATATCATTTGTCAATGAGGCCCAAGTGCTTGCTATTTTCTGACTAGATTCCAAATAAAAAGTGTAGTAACAACATTTCAGATTATCAAATGAGTCAAAAGTAAACACCAATAGAACGTACAAGAGTTAGACCTTTGGTGATATAGTATTGATAATCAGTCATAATCGTTTTTAAAACTAATTACACTTCTGATCCTGAAATAAAATAACATAATCCTGTATGGCTTCTGTGGGATCAAATACCTCATGCAAACAGGTGTACTGCACATGATATGGTGCCACTTTCTCCTCTCCTTTGATCTCTACGTTGATTTGGAGGCGAATGGCGCCTGACACGGCTGACTTGTCCGTCCTTTTCTCTGTAATCAAACACAAGCACACACACTCTTGAATCATAACTGGATTGGGATGCCAAAACCAAATGTGTGACACGGAGACACCTGTAACAAGGTCTGTTAACACAACAATAATTACAGGCTATTAGCATGGCAGTTCTATTGTAGGTGGTTCAGTTGCTACAGCTTGACAGCAGCTCAGAGCCGCCAATGCTAATAGAAATCCTCCAGCTGATAGTGAGGAAGACAATGGCAGGGGGTTGTATAGATCTGTGCCCTGATCACAGAAGACACTTGAGCTTCTCTGGGGGTGGAGTGCTTGGCCATGCGCCCCTGCTATTTTCCCTGACAGGCTCATCATTAGGGGTAATTTGTACATGTCGGAGGAGCGGTCGATTTCCGACTGGAGTGCTGCTACTTGATAATCACACATCAAGTGGAGAAAGGGGGAGAGAAAGGAGGGGAGGAGCACTACAGGATAGAGATAGAGAAGAAAAATAATGATCTAAGGTATGGAGCATATTACACTTGACTGATTATAAATCAGGTTCAAATTCTTGTGACACCTAATCAACGCAGATTTGCTGTATGGATTATTAAAATAGATATTTAATTGAGCTGCTCATGTCTTTAAAAAAACAACCGCAGATTTATATGCACATTTATACTAAGTATAAGTGTCTTACTGTTCAAGTTAAAGATTTATTATTGCCACTGTGATGTCAATTTGTGCACTTCAATCAAGTAGAAATGGACGTCATGCAATATGAGATGATGCCTTGGGTGAGTAAATCTATCAATTCACTTTTGATAAAAGCTCTTTCACAGCACCCTACTAACAGGAAGATAGTAATTCAGTTATGCAACACTGTTCATCTGCATGACAAAAATGTCAAAAAGAAGTATACTTTATCCTCCCAGCTACTTTTATCTACGCTCTACAACAAGTGCTTATAGAAAATAACAAAAAGCGGACAGATGAATCAGCTTATGTGTACTTGTAAGTGTCTCTATTCTGGCCTGCCCTGATTAAATATCTCCACACTCGGGGGGGGGGAATAGTACAGAGGATTACCATGAAAACAAGTTTTATTTCCAGGAAAAGAGAACAACTGCCAGCAACAACAAAGGGACTTCATAAACAAGCTTTTCAGGGTAAAGCCACTGTTCTCATGGTGGCTAATATGGATCCCAGGGCTAATCATCCCCAGTGTTAAAATGTAACAGTGCAAACAACACATGAGAAATGTAGGTCAAACAAACCACTGACTGGTCTCACTAAATACAGAACTCTTAAAAACAAAAAGAAACACATAATGCGGTAATTTAAATGGTTGGAGTTTATTCACTTACAGGCGGGGGAGGAAAATCTTAAAGGAGGAACTTATTTCCCCCCATGCCAAGAAAAAAACACCTTTTAAATTTTGGACTTTTCTTGATGATAAAATAGGTTGTGTTTCCCATCAATTAACCCAGACAGAGTTATACTGTATGCAGCAGTAAATATCATTGCCTTCAGAAAAAAAGCTGCAGAAGTTCTGCACATTCTGAGTTTGATTTAGTGACTGTAAGTTTATTACCAGTTGGGCTTTATTCATAAAAAGAAAAAAAAGTAGTACTAACCCAGGTTGTACCAGACGTCCATTTCTCCACTCAGTGTTCGGACTTCTATTATACTTTGGCCCAAGAAATCATCAGATTCCCTCTTCAGACGCTGTTTCACCCTTGACTTGATGTCATCATCCTCGTCCCACACACGCACCTTAATTCGGTCGGAGGAATTGTGGCACTCACTAGTACAGAACAAGAATGAAAAAAAAAGAAACATTAACACTACAGACTAATATATGAGAAATTTGTAAGAAGAAAGAGTTGGCAGATTTTTATGATTAACAAGACAAATGGCAAATAGTGAAACTTTTGTGAAAAGAGCTCAACGCCCACATTGACTTACTTAGCTCATTACAGGTAAAGAACTTTTAGTGAAGGTTAAACACACATTTTGGTAAAATATTTGCAAAACTTACAAATGGAACTTCTCCTCCCAGACAGGATTGAGGTTTCCATAAATGGTCTTGGTTCTCTTCTTGGTCTTGCCGACCTGAACAGTCACATAAGGATCACTAGAACCTGTCTTGTCCTTTGCCTGAAGTCCTTGTGCACAAACCACTATTGTAATGATGAAGACACAAAGACAAAAAGAAGAATCATATGTTACACTAATAAGACTGACAGGACAGAACTGTAAGGTTGTGCTTAGGTTAATCAGTTTTCCGTTGGTGGGATACCTGTGATGGTGATCTTGGCTGACCACTTTGAGGTGCCGTCCAGTACACTCTGCTTGATGGTCTTCATCTGCTGTGCATGGGTTGCTTTGCTGATGACGTACACTTCTCTAATAAGTTCAAAGATTTCTGGTTTGTTTCTTTCCCTGATCTTCATCCTGTCTTTCATTGCCATGATTATATTTTGAGTTCGGTCTTCAGCTCCATGCTTGGAGCTTTTCTCCGCAGCACCTAAACATTTGACAAAAAGGTATAAAACAGTATTTTCTCTTAGTTGGTAAGGCATTTGATGACATACTTAAGCTATTAACATTTTGTTAATTCAACTTTTTCAGTGTGAGGAAACATTTTACATAGGTTGCTTTGACTGTGCATGGATAGTAAATACAGTGAGAATGTTTTTATAGTATTAATAAGATTAGTACTCACGCTGTAGGCAGTCAGCATTCAGCAGCTCTTGGCACTTTTCATGGCACTTTACTCCACACTCAGAGCAACGCATGCCTTGGCGGGCTATACCCCACAGCAGCCCCTCACACTCATAGCAGTATGTGGGAGTGGTGGCAGTCCACACCTCAAAGTTATGGGGTGTAGTGCAGGATATAGGGTAGATAAGCGCCTGCAGGGTCTTCTTGTACACATGGTTTTTCTACAGAAGGGATAATATACTCAATTTAAAATAATAATATTTTTTTGTAAAACTGTAAATTTAATTTCACAATGTTATGCTCACCAGCTCCTCGTCTTTGAATGACGACCGTGCAGCCATGGCGGATGTGATTCCTGCCTTCCTGGCTTGGACAAGTGACTGAACAACAGGTGACAAAAGGAAAGTTAAAATTGTATAAATGGACATACAACCCACAACCAAGATCACCTCTAAGTTATTCTATTACATTAATGGTCAGTATTGTTAAAAGGTTGCCCAGAGGTTGTGAGGGTGGTGAGTAGGGTTATTGTAGCATTTTTCCCCATTGATGAAATCTAAACAAATTATCTGAAAACACATGAGGATGTTAACACTCAGGGAAGTAGTAGAGAGCATATTACTAAAAAGGAAAAAGCTGAACTAACATAAATCATATAAAACAAAAACCAAACTCTCAGCCACTAATTTTGTGGGATTGTTAGTAGGGCCCGACCGATATGAGATTTTTGGGTCTGATGCCGATATTAGGGAGAGAATATAAGAGATATCAATATATTGGCCGATATCTTTCCTAGATATATCTATGATCTTTACAGATAAATATAGGTACAGATATACTGATTATTGTGTTAAGCCCTGAATTGCAGTTATCAAACACTTGTGGAAAAGATATGTAATGAAGAACAGATGGTCATTCAACTGGAAAGTAACTGTACATGTACGCGCATCACCGCTTGACACTGGAGAGTGATGACGCTTGTTGTAATCCATATAGTGCCCTCTGCTGGTAAAAATGAACTGCTAGTGTTAAACAATGAAACTCAAATGAAAGGCTATTTGACTGGTAAATAAATCTAGTAATATTGGTACATATCTGCTAAAAGTAGCCGTTACCGATAGTTAGTGGATATGCTAATGTCGGCCGATATTATCGGGTTGGCAATTAATCGATCGGGCTCTAATTGTTAGCATTGCATTTTATCTTGTGATGGTCTTTATTATATACAGTATATGGCTGAGGAGATGGATAAAAATATAAACCAAAAGGTGTTTGAATAGATTAGTGATAACAAAGGTTATTTTAACGATAATATCAAGTAGGAAGAAAAGCTACCCAAGATCAAGATTGAGCATGCAAATATGTAAAGTTGGTGACCAATTCAATCCACATGCTTAAGACATATGTTTAAGGCACTGCTTTTTGAATTGTCCTACTTGATATTTTGAACTTTGGTAGGAAAGGGAGTGGCAACTGGGTTCTATAAACTTACCATAGCCTGACCAAGGAGAGTGAATGCATTCAAGAGAGTTGTGGGAAATAGTTTCAGGTTTAAGAGAGGAGGGAGAGAGATATTAGCAGTCTAATTTCATATTTGTCTCCATTTGTTGATAACAATCTCATCCCAACTTCAGCTCAATGGTTAAATAACTTTGACTCCTTTAAAGGTCTCACAAATAGAAAAAACACAAACATGTGCACACAAAACAAAGAACAAAACAAACAGGATGACATATTGCATAAAGTACACACAGCAAAGGAATGAAAGTTTAGTACTGACCACATCGCTGACCAAGGCGATAGGTTTCTTTTTACGCAGGTCTGGCATGCTGTCAATTCCATACAGACCAGATCCGCCACTAAGCAATGATAAAAATATAAATGAAGAAAAAGGTTCAATAACACAGCAGAGTAAAACAGGACATTATCTTTGTACTTAAAATACAATGACATGAGTACAGTTATAAAGTATCTTAGTATGTAAGATGTCAATTTTTGCTTCTTTCTCAAATTCATGCAAAACTACTACAGGTATAAACAATGGGCAGCTTACCCTGGTTTGACCCAGGCTTGTCTAGCATTGGGTTGGTCATCTCGAACCTACAAGATGGAAGTTGTTAGAAATTAAGCTGATGACCAACAAACAGACTGAGAACTAATTATGCAGATGTTTAAAAAGCTGAATGTATAATGAGAAAATAATGGAAAGTTACATATGGTTGAGTTTAACCCCTTTGATGTTACAGAACATGAAGAGTCAAATCAGAAAAACAGGCAATGATGCCGTTGATACATCGGATCAAATAAATGTTGCAGAAATCTTAATTTTTAGACATAAGGTGAAAGGCATGGTGGCAATGGAGGACCAACATTATACAGATACAAAACAAAAGAGTGAATTTTCTAACTTGCAATGCAAGTGAACTAGAAAAAGTGTTTTATAAATGAAACCTCATAATCTTCTCTTCCACAATCTGCAAAGAAAAATTAAACACAATTAAAAATTACATTTTACAGAAGCTGTAGTGAAGAAAACTACTTTAAGCATATTTTCATGACACTATTAAATAAAAAGACAAACAAACTGACTCAATCCTGTATACATTTAATTTCCATAATTATTACACATAGATTTGCTCAGTTCTATAAAACCTTTCATAAACTAAGTAGTAATTTAAGTCAAAGGAAATTTCCTCGACAATACCTGGAATAAACTCATCTTGAGATTGTGATCCCTGAGATCCTTGAGAGCCATGGGAACCCTGGGACTCCTGAGCAGATCTGGACAGTCTATGACGAGTTTGCTTCTTTTCCCTCAGAATGCGCTGGAAATTAGCTATACGCTCTTTGTGACTGGCATCAGTAGGCTTTCCTGGATTCACCTCATCAAGAACATGGTTTTCCCTTATTGGACTTAATGGCACATCGTCTGTACTGAGCACAGGAACCGGTGAACGAACACCCTCTTTTGCTGGACAATGGTCTGGTGTTGAGTCAAGCTGAGACAGCTTCCCATCTGTTAGGCTCTCTCCTTTACCCTGTGAAATCTCTACAGAGTGATACTCAGATAGTGTGCAAAGAGGGTGGCTTGCTTCATGAGGGGATGCTTGAAGGGAACATGGAAGATTATCCTGTGACCCAACGCAAACTGAAGTCTCATCCTCAAGAATGCAACAGGCAGTTTGGTTGTCTGTTCCACTAACCTCTCGATCTGTATACTCTGTACTGCTTGGCTCCAGTTCACTAGCTTGTCTGACAAAAGGTTGTGATGCATCAGAGCAACAATCATCTGTCACACCATCAGGATGAGATCCTTCCAATTTTTTCAGTGCCCCTTTCAAAGCTGACCTAAAAGTGACCACAACATTGTTAAAAGTAGCTACATCAAAAGCTACATTTGAGGTTTTCGATGTACTTAAATAATCCATTTCAGATGACTCCTGTGATAGAGAGTCTCCTGCTTCGTCCCTGGAAATGCTCTGGTCTGTCCACTCCCTGTCCAAACTGCCAGCAGACCCCAGATCAAGGGTGTCGCCAGATGATGGACAGTCATCGCACAGTGAATGTGGTTCCAAGTAACCATCATCACAGTCGGTCAATAGCAGAGTGGAGCAACTTATACTCCTGGAGGGCTCACTACCAAGTTCATTCATACAAGCATCCATGGTGTGGTAACCAGAACTACGTGAGTATGGACAGTTTGTGGAACAGTCACACTCTAAGTTTTCTACATCAGTTTGCGGTCTGGGGCGCCTCCAGTCCACCATGTTGGAAGAACTTGAAGGATAGCTGAAATGGTGTCCAAACAGCAAAGAGAGATACTCAGAGCTGTTGTGTGAAGAATGACCAGGTGTGCTGCTTTGCGTCTCCTCAGTAGTGCACCTGTCCCAAACACCGGGACAATTTTCCAACTCATCTTGACTGTTTGCACAAGAGCAGATGTCCTCCTCACTCCACACCCCTTCTCCACTTCTACTCTGGTGCATATGAATAGAAGGCCACGTTGCATATTCTGTGTCACTAGACATAATACCTGCTTCAGGATAGTTGGAACTGAGACATGATGACAAAGAGCTTGTGCTCTGGTAGTCATGGCCATGATGAAGTTCTAGGCAACAGAAATCAGGCTTGGAAGGGACAAAAAGAAGCATATTTGAATTCTTCTCTGAGTTCTGTCTTAGATCCATTTGCTGTTGCTGTTCACTATTTAAATGCCATGGTTTGGTTGTTTTGTGAGATGGTATACATGTTGAATCTTTTCCACTATCAGTGTAATTCAACACTGGACTGGTGCCTCTCCCTTGAGATGTGATGGCATTCAGCCTACCCAGGCTTCCATCCCTGATGCAGGGTGTTTCAGGAACAGGACTAGAATGAGATGCAGTTGAAGCCCCAGCGTACAAATCACCTATCTCACTGAGTACTGCATCTACACAACATGATACTTCATCCACTGAGCCTTTCACAGTTGTTAGATACTGCCTTAGGTCAGAAATTTCCTCCTGGATCTTGTTGATGCCTTTCAGCTCTTTTACGATATGTTCCACTAAGTTACTTGAGCATTGCTCTGCCTCTTCATCCCCCATCTTCTCCTTCCTGTCCTCATTTCTGATCCTTTCAATGAGCCTGGGAATAGTATCCTCCACGACCCTAATACCATTCTGGCAATCAGAACTGGGAGTTAGGTCAGCATTGGAGGCAGAATTCACTGCTGGAAATTTATGAAGGGAGTTATCTTCTGTCCTCTGCAGGGGCTTCTGCATCTTCCTGTGCAGGTGTTTCCCAGGGTTGGGGCTCTGTGATCTTTTCTTCTGCAGGTCTCCTCTCCTCGATGGTGGAAGAAGCTCTGATTTGTAGGGCTCATCCTGTCCGCTGAGGTGTCCTCTTGGGAACATCCTTGAGAAGAAACACTATTTATCAGCATTTCCTACACTTAGCCAAGCCACAGCAACTGCAACTCCCTTTAGCCAATATTTAAAACTTAAAATCACTGAGTGTCTTCATATTGACTGTCAGGATAAAACTGGACAATGAGATATTTTGTTTATGAAGCAGTTAAATATCCAAACATTGATTTAAATATCTATCTATCTATCTATCTATCTATCTATCTATCTGTCTGTCTATCCTTTCAGTAAGAGTCAGAACTTGCAAAGTGAACATTATGCAGCTGCTTAGATCCTGAATTAGGATGTCTTGGAAAAGCAACTCTGTAATTAGATGACATGTCATTTGTCTCCTCTGAGGCTATGCCATTCTTTCACAACCATGCCAGCTGCACTGCTTGATAGATCTGACCCATTACCTACAGAATATACACTATAGGAATTAGGGGTGGGCCAAAATATTGTAGTCCTGACTTGTGTGATACAATTATCAAATTGCTGGTGGCCAAATATTGGTATTTAATAAATAAAACAAATACAACATGGCGCTACAAACAGATTTCCCAGCCAGTTTGACTTACTGCATAACTAGTTCATGGCTCCACTTGGTGGCGCTTATGATATGAATGAGGGTAACCTGAACTGAAGTTAATTGAGCTAAGTTGACAGCGTGATAAAAGAATAATTATAAGACAGTGTGGTAATTTCGTACAGCAGTAAAACTAAATTAACTGATGAAGCGTCTAAAGAGTTGAAACTGACACCATATTGCAGTCAATGAATACATGAATCCTCCACTTTACCATTTTTTTTTTAGGAATTTTGTGCACTGAGGTTAATCACATATTGTGACGTTGCATTATTATCGTCTCTTTTATCGCAGAATCCCTGTTCTTTGTTACCGTCGTGAGTGTGATTTATATAATGTTTATTATATATTTTCTTATCTTATCGTGAGTTATCCTGAGATTACCACCCCTAATATGGATTATTCAATACTCCAAAAATGTAACATAGCGTAATCATAGAGTGACGACAAAGGGAAGTTGACCTACTGGAAGTCAACCACTTTGCAAGATTTATTAAGTCTTATTTAAAATCCAATTACAAAAAAAACATTATTCCATTGCTCCCAAAAGCAAGTCCTGCTGAGATTCCCAAAGGTTTAGACATACACAGAAAATAACACTACTGTGTGGATACTTTAAATTCGACTCAACAGGATTTGTATAAAAGTAGAGCTCAATATAGAGCTGCGTTAGAACTACAGAATGAGTACAGTATTTATTGTCACTGTTCAAGACAAGAGAGTAATAGCTGCAAATACCACAGCCCTTCACTTGAGGTTAAGTCATTGTGCACTTAAGGTGCATGTAACCCTTTGGTAGGCAGAAAAGAACAATCCAGGCTATGTTCCCCATCACTAATGAACTGTTGAATCAATTCAACAAAATAAAAAACAGGGCATGCAGAATTTTACTTAGGAGGATAATTTCTCCCATTTAAATATAAAGTTAAAATGCTTTGTCAATTTCTCACTGCTTCAAAAATAAATATGGACTATGTAAGCTACAATGTACTACAAGCCATCATATAGTATAAAAAATGTATGCCATGCATAATTAAATCAAAGTCTACACGAACTCCAACTTACATGCAACAAAGCACAGAATGTTAATGTTAATGTTTATATTAAAAGGTGAGACTTACCGTGTAGAGAAATAATATAATCAAGAACAATCTGCATGTATCATCTGGAAAGATCCATAAAATCTGCATGGAGGTTTGAATAATAGTAAAAAAAAAATAAAAAAAATAAAAGTAATCTTTTTTCAAAATGTATACCTTGAAATGTTTATTTCTGCATATGTCATTCTTTCTTTAAATAACAAAAATGCAGAAGTGCTGAATCCCTCACCTCTACAACTGGAATGGTCAGTGCGAAAGGGTAGACCACGATTATACAGCAGTTCATCTTCGGTTAAGTAGCAATCCCTCTTTCCCTCCCACCCTCTTGCATGCTTTCTTCACTCTCTCTCTTTCTATCCTCAGCAATGCATTCAACAAGAGGCTAAGCTGACACTGTACCACTGCCAGCTCTCAGTTGTTTTCACTCCTTTCTGTGTAAACATCTGCCAGTTGTTGGTATTTGGCATTTTTCTCTTTCTATTCTTTAAAAAGTGAAAACATTTGTGATCAGAACCACAAGTTATCTTGTTACCATGCTCGGTGTAAAGAGTGAAGAGAGTGAAAGATTGCAGCTCTGTCATATCAAATATATTGAGGCTGATACTTTAAATGGGTCCTGTAGTCAGTCCCACTTTCTGTTCATCCAATATTTTTAGTTAGTAAGCAATGGAGATAGTTGTACAATGTCAGTTCTAGGTTACTTATTGTATCAGTCACTGTAACACTGCTAGACAGATTAACGGCCAATTCTTATTCATAACAGTCGTCTTATGATTAAGTCGTGTGTCCTAAGTGTTTCTCTTCATCCTGTAATAAATGACAGATTTCACCCTTACTTCAGTATATATACTGATACAATCATCAGCCATCACACCCGACCACTACATGCAAACCAATCATACTAATGTAGCTTATATACGAGCTACTCCATTACTGCCGTAAAAACCCTAATCAAGGGGATGAACACCAATGGGCTGAGAGATTCTGATGGTATCATTGTGACCGCCCTCTAAAGATTTGTGAGGGGACTTAGAAGTAGGATTACATTCAAAATCTGTTGACATGTCAAGGATACAAATTCTGGTACACAACACTGGTTTCATATCATGGTTTATCATTCATTTTGTGAAAGAACACTGTCTCCATAGATGATGTTGAAACAATAAAAATGATCCATCTCAGAAGAGGAGTGATTGAGTTATGAGAGAGTAAACAAGTCTCATAGCAGTGGCATGAAAAGAGATTAAAACAGCAATGAAGACTGATTCTGAGAAGCACTTAAAATCTAGCATTTGCTTGAGGCATAGCTGCGCATTTCACACCTTCAAGTCTGAATAACTACGAGAGATGGAGGTGCAAGCATTTTTGAAGGACAATAAAATGCAGTTGTATTTTTGTGTACAATTTTGGTGCATAATCTTAAACATGAAAGATGTTAAACTCAACCATTTTCAAAGAATTGCATGTGTCATTGCATTTCTGTTCATTCATGTGTAATATTTCATGTGTATGAAATAAGTTAGGACACAGGAAGAAGAAGGGTTGGACATGGGAGGTGATGAGAGAGCAGGATATTGGTGGAGGAACGAAAGCACAACAATTCTTACCTCCCTTAGTTGAACCCTGACTTTATTAATGGCCTTCAACCACTGCAGTCTGGAAGGGGAAAAGGGTAGTGGAGGGCCATCATCATGGAACCTAGGTTGCATGAATAAAAAAAAAAAACATGGCACAAATTGTTCAGTTTCCATGCATATAATACACATAAATATATATAAATATATTATTAAGAAAAAAACAAACCTTTTCATTTTAGAAGACCGTCTCTCTAGAGTTTCATTTTTCAGGCCCAGCCCTACTTCGGGGGACGGCCTCTGTATCCCTTTCTCACTAACAGAAGAGTGTCCATTTGTGGGAGGATGTCCATTGGTGCGTGGCTGCTCGTTGTTGGAGGGATGAATGCTACTACTGTGATAGGAGTGGAAGGACTCCTCCAGTTCTGAGCCTCCAGTGCTCTCCTGGCCAGTCTCACTAAGCTGGGAACTGGTCTGGCTCAGGTTTCCTGACGACCCAAACCGACTACTTTCCACAGGACTACAATGGTGTAAGAGGAATGAGGAAAATATTCAGTTGTTAGAATCAATTTCTTAGACAAGATCAGGTTCAAAAAGCACTTCTGAACATTTTCGTGGTTGGTTCTCTCAATAACTAGTTTTTGGGCTGTATAAAAAAAGTAAGAGATCTAAGAAAAATAAATATACTACACTAACTATTAAGGACATGACTACTTGTATTAAAAGCCTATTTGAATTATTAGTTGTTTTAGTATGAACACACCACATCATTCCCTAAAAAGACACCCAACCTTGCCGGGAGGCTGATGCATGTTGTAAAAACAATGAAAATGTAAAGATCACATAAGGGTCTGGTCTATCTTGTGGTGCGAGGTTTAAATCCATTGTAACTGCTACTGTAGTCATTATTATGCACACAATTACATCAGCATATTCTATTGTCAACCATTTAATTTAAGCATACAGGCTACAATGGTTAATATACTGAGTTGACTTGGGTGTTGGGAAATTTTACTTTTTATAAATGTAAAACAAATTAAATATTTAGAAAAAGCATTAAAAGGTTTACATTTTTTGGTTAAATAGTTAGGATATGTATATACAAAATTTAAGTAAATAGATAAAAAGTCATTAAAAAAAATCCATCATCTAAAATAAAATACAACACTCCTCAGAATTCCATGCTCAAACAACATTTACATAATTCATAACGCCCATATATCAAGTTTATATATCTGATCTTAAATAATGTGTTTTCACTCAAAAATAGCAAATATAGCTGAATAAATTATATCAATTCAATAATACTGTCTGGCTAGTTAAATTCACTTGAAAATTCTTATGGTATTAGAAATATGTAAACTTGTCTTGGAATTCTGTTATGAAATTGCAAACCCTATTTCTTAAAAGTTGGAATTTTGTGTAAAATGAAAATAAATACAGAATGTGATGAAATGTTGAAACTGAGAAATTTCACTATGATAGCAAAATGACATATATATATATATATATATATAAAAAAAAAAAAAAAAATTTGCCAGCAACACCTTTGAGAAAAAGGCTTATTATCAGACCTGGGTAACTATCACATTTGTGAAGACTCCATTAATGTTTGGTTTGAAGCAAGATATGCTGCCAAATGAACGACTTCTTTTTCAGGGAAGATCCTTCCTATTCAAGCAAGACAATGCCAAACCACATTCTGCACCAATCACAGCAGTGTGGCTCTACAGTCGAATTGTTCAATTGATAAACTGGCCTCCTCCAGTTCCGACTTGTCCCCCCCATTGGAAATGTTTGAATCGTTTTAAAGCATAAAATACAGCAAAAGAAATCCTGAACTACTGAATAGCTGAAATCCTACATCAAGCATGAATGGTAAACAATTAATTTTCAAAATTTCGAGGAACTAATCTCCTTAGTTCCCAAACTCATAAAATCTTGTTAAAAGAAGAGGGAATGCAACAGGGGTAGTAAGCAAGACCATGGGCCAACTTTGCTAAAAGGTGTTGATGGCAAAATTTTAAAAATAGTCATTTAATTTTTCTAAAATAGAAAAATTGCTAAGTTTAAACATTTGATATGTTGTCTTTGTGCTACTTCCAATTAAATATAGAGTTTCAATGTTTGGAACATCAAATGTTTGAATTCTGTGATTATTTTAGTTTTAAACAACATCCTAACTTTTTAAGAATTTGGGTTCATGGACAATTTTACAGAGACTACACACAAAAACTCCTCCAAGAATACACACTTCCACAGACATACAAATGTTCAACTAAATACGAAATAAAACTAGTGAGGATGAATCGCGGAGCTGGACAGGGAAAACATGTTTTGTCATGTCAATGCATCATAAATGGTATGGGGGAATGCCATTTATTATGGTTCTACTAGCCTTTTGGCATTCAATAGATCCTTCTTGGCCTGGTTGTCCAGCTGCACTCCAGAGGTAGGACCTGCAGAAGGGTATGTTTCTACAAGCCTTTCCTCCTCCTTTGGGACCAAGGATGCTGAAGGATCTACTTCAGGAGTGGAAATGCAAATCTGGGGGTTTGTTTTACCATCAGTAGAACCTACCGATTCATTTATTGGGGGATCAGGTGTTGCACTCTTTTTTACAGTATGTGTTTCAACACTTGTAGGCTTGCTCGTTTTTGGTTGAGATGTTATCACTTGGACACCTAGAGGCTTGGGTGGCTCTGCCTGCCAAGGAAAACTTATTTTAGTCCCAAATAATGAAGTTGTGGGCTGCTCTTGTTTCCCTGCAACAGGCTTTTCCTCTTGAAACAGGCTCCCAGAAAGGGTTTTTAATCCCAAAAACAAACCACTGCCTCCTTCTGCTTGAGCACCTGATGGTATTGTTGGTGAAAACAGTGATCCAAGAGATTTTCCTGCATCACTCTGTGTCGATATAAAACCAAACAGAGACTTGACTTGAGTTTGATCTTCATTGTTTGGCAACTGATTAACTGGAGGAGATGTATTCATATTTTCAGCACCAGTATCAGGTGGGACTGATTTGTCTTTACTCTGAGGCTCTCCTTCAATGACTAGGGGCTTTTCATGTATCTGATGTATCATCTCTAAATCAACAGCAGACTTGTCTTTTTCAGTATTATCCACTTGATTTGTTATTTCAAATGCAGGACTTATTGAAGTCTTTGTTACAGCAGACATTTGTGTACAAGCTGCCTCTGATTCCAGAGCACTACTGCAAGTTTGGATTTCAGATATGACTTTATTATTATCTGCTAGGGTGTCCACAATTGTATTTGGACTACTCTCTATGCTAGGTGGAGGTCTTTTTGGTGGCACACTTTCATTCTTAACCCTTGACTGCTGAGCAGTGCATGTTGTTGGTCTGGGCTCAGGTGGCACTGGTTCAAATGACTTGGGTGGTTGTCCCATACTCCCAAATAAAGATCCTCCTATGCCCCCAAGTATTGATGCTCCAGTCTGTGTTCCTGCAGTCTGAGCAGGGACCCCTCCAAACATTCCTCCAAGCAAAGAACCACCAGGCTGTGCTGTTGCTGCAGATCCCCCAAACATACCACCTAGTAAAGATCCACCAGTTTGGGGACCTGGTTTGGCGGTAGGCCCTCCTCCAAACATCCCGCCTAATATTGACCCTCCACTTGTGGGTGGAGTTGTTTGAGAAACAGACTGAGGAGCAGACCCCTTGAATAAACCTCCCAGTAACGACACCCCTGTCTGGGGAGCTGCTGTCTCTGTATTTGATCCTCCAAAAATACCTCCTAATAATGATGCTGCAGCCTGCGCAGTAGAAGCTTGGGATGCTGGTGAGTTCTGCTGCTGCGAAACCTCAATTGGTGCAACTGTCGGTTTAAAAAGAGAGGACATAAAGCCTGTAACTGTTTCTGCTGATGATTCACTGAAAGATTTATCTGACTGTGGAGGCTTTTCCTGCTCCTGGTCCACAGCTGTTGTTGACAGTGTGATCCGTATTTGATCTTCAACTTTAGGCAGTATGGTATCTTGATTCAACTGACTACTCAGAATTTCTGGTGTTGCAGGTTGTTGTGCTTCCTCCGATATTTCAGAGTCTTTAGACATAATATTATTAGCTAACAAAACTGGCTTTTCTGCATCTTGGCAACAAACTTCTTCAATGATGTTGTCACTTCTGGGTAGAATTTCCCCAAGACCCTGAACTGCACCATCAGGTCTCTGCAGTGTTTCTGCCAGCTCCTTGATTTTAGTAGTAGTATCAATTTCAGATGTCCCAGCTACCACTGTATCAGTTTTACTGTCATCACACTGTTTTGTTTGATCAGTTTCAACTAATGAAGTGTTGGTAATAGCTGCTGTTTTCCTTTCATCATTACACTTTGGCACAGTTGCATTGGTTGTTGTGGGTGGATTTGGAGGAACAATATCTCCCGGAAGAGGTGAACCAGCAGTAGTTGTTTGAGACAATGTTTCCCCCAAAATACCTCCCAATATAGAGTTACTGTTTGGGGATGAAGAAGTCTGGTTGGCAGACCCACCAAACATTCCACCAAAGGATCCACTTGACTTAGGTCCTGAAATTGAATTAGCTGATCCTCCAAATATCCCACCTAAAATAGACCCACCACTTTGAGATCCAGCAGCCTGGGGAGCAGATCCCCCAAATAAGCCTCCAAGTAGGGATGTTCCTGTCTGAGGTCCTGCTGTCTGGGGAGAAGGGCTTCCAATCTTTGTGGGGCAAACCTGAGGAGATTGAGGAGCAGCCTGAGGAGTAGACCCTCCAAATAAACCACCTAGTACTGATCCTCCTGTTTGAGAAGCTGTTTGAGGTGATGGACCACCAAACATTGTCCCCAAAAGAGAACCTCCAGGCTGTGAAGAGGGCTGAGGGGAAGAACCTCCAAACACAGAAAATAAACCTTTTGCTGGTTGGTCCTTGGGACTTGATGATACAGTTGTAGACCCTGTAGGTGAAGGACCTACAGTGCTGGGCCCAGAAAATAATGAAAGTAAACTTTTTCCTGGACTATCTGAAGTAAATACAGATTGCGTGGATGAATTCTGTGAGCTTGATCCACTGATCATAGACAAAATTGCTGAAGCTGTTGATTCTTTAGAGTGAGCAGGGTCCTGAGATGTGCCTTCTGTGCTTGTTTCCTTTAGTACAGTGACACATTCTGTATTTGGTTTCATAGATGCAATATCAGTGCCTTTAATTGTGGTACTTTCTTTAGTATCTATAGTAGTATCAGTCAATTTTATATCTTGAACGTCACTTGATATTTCACTGGTTGCTGCAGCTGTGGGGACATTACTATCAGAATCAGATGGCATTTGGGAAGGACTTTTTTGTGCATCAGTAATAGTCAGGTCTATGGTAGTAGTAGCAGATGATGCATTTGGAGTTTGTGGTTGTGGAGGGGACACAACATCATTAAAAACAGAAAGTATACCCTTTGCAGGTTCATTGGGTGCTGTAGCTCCTGCAGACGAGGGCACATTTTTACATTCACTAGCTCCTGGTGTTTCAGGAGTACTGGGCCCACT